TGCACATGCAGACAGAATACTGTATACATAATAAATGAATAAATAAATCTTAAAAAATAAATAATAATAATAATAAAGAACGAAGTCTCCTTATGGAGTTTGCTAGACACGTGGGTAAGAAACTGCTTTTGAGCGGGGCGGTGGTGGTGGTACATGCCTTTAATCCCAGCTCTTGGGAGGCAGAGACAGGTGGATCTCTGTGAGTTTAAGGCCAGCCTGGTCTACAAGAGCTAGTTCCAGGACAGGCTCCAAAGCCGCAGAGAAACCCTGTCTCGAAAAACCAAAAAAAAAAACCTGCTTTTGCCTGGACTGCTTGATGGTATGCTGTATGAACTGGACATGCAGGACCCACAGAAAACATGGAAAAATCTGCCAGATACTATGGGCCTGTAGGCTGAAGATGGATGCCCCAATGTTACAGAACTTTGAGTGACTATCTGCTGTGGGAACTCCTTCAGTCAATAGCTTTTAAGATACCAGCTCGCTTTGGGTGTGGTCTCATGTACTATAAATGCAGATGTAAAGTGTGTGCAGGCCTCTTGGTTGCTGGATTCAGTTACAGTCCCAGTGCACACAGAGGACTGCTGATTGCTACCCTTTCTGTGAGTACACCCCCTATTAAACAAACCTTTATTATATTCCATTCTGGGCTAGTGTGGGACTATTATAAGTTGCAACAACTGTCCAGGCAGCCAGATGTCTTTGTCAATTCTAAAGTTTTGGAAGTTGCTTACAATGTACTTCCTGTTTAGTTAGGTAATATTATATCCTTCTGGGGTCTTTGAAGACAGTTATAGTTTCCCTTAGCTATGATAAAGGATAAATTAGATATAAAACTTTTGACTCACAAAGATGGGATAAATGATAGAGTATTTTCCTTAATTTGCAAAAAATAAATAACTGTAATTCTTGCTTGATAACTGTTTTGGATATGTAATTTTGCTATGTTAAAGTTAAAACTTTCCTTTTTACTTAGACAAGGGGAGATGATGTGGGAAGTTCTGTATATGTGTTGCTATTATTGGTTAATGAATAAAGCTTCTTTGGCCTATGGCAGAGCAGAATATAGCCAGGCTAGAAGAGATATAGAGAGAGAGTAGGCAGAGTCAAAGAAATGCCGAAGGAGAAAGATGCTGCTGCTGGAACTTTACCCAGTAAGCTACAGCCTTGTGGTGATACACAGAATAGAAATGGGTTAATTTAAGATGTAAGAGTTAGTTGATAAGAAGCCTAAGCTATTGGCCAAGCAATGTTGTAATTAATAGTTTCTGTGTGATTATATGGATCTGTGCAGCCAGGAAATGAACAAGTGGTCTCCATTTACAAACGTTTTTTGTTTTGTGGCCTAGGCTGGCCTTGAACTTGAGTTCTTCCTCATAAGGGCTAAAATAGGTATGTACCATCATGACAAACTTTTATTTTGCCTCTGTCCCATCTCTCTCCATCTATTTGCTTCCCAAAGGGTGCACAGCTCTGTCCCATTATGCCCACACCCCATCATGATGCTCTCACAAGCCTACAATGATAGGATCAAATGACCATGATTAAAGCTCTGAAATCAGAAGCCAATATATTTCCTCCTTTAAGCTGATTTCTCTCAAGAATTTTGTCACAGCAACAGAAAGCTCAGAAACCCATTCATTCCTCTTAGGAATACAAACAATATAGCTACTCTGGAAGATTAGATGTTGTCATCTAACAAAATTAAATATATTCTTGCCTTATAATCCAGCAGGCATATTCTTTGGTACTTACCTAAATGAGTTAAAAGGTATATTCATGAAAAAATCTGCACAAAAAGACGTCTAGAGCATTTTTAATCATAATTACTAAAGTTTTGAAGTATTCAAAATGTCCTTCAGTAGGTGAATGACTAAACTGGCACATTCATACAATGGAATATTATTCAGTGGTAAAAGGAAAGCAGTTATAATACTATGAAAAGACATAGGACAAACTTAAATGCTTATCACTATGTGAAAAACAAGCAATCTCATAGACCTGCCAACTATAATTCCAAATTTGTTGCATTCTACCCAAAGCAAAATTGTGAACCAGTAAGCCAGGCGGTGGTGGCGCACACCTTTAATCCCAGCACTTGGGAGGCAGAGGCAGGCGGATCTCTGTGAGTTCATGGCCAGCCTGGTCTACAGAGCTAGTTCCAGGTCAGGCTCCAAAGCCACAGAGAAACCCGGTCTCGAAAAAAAAAACAAACAAAAAACAAAAAACAAAAAAAAATTGTGGACCAGTAAAAGGCCAACAGTAGCCAGGGGTTTGTTGGGAGGGGATATGAGTAAGAGGAATATAGTATTTATGTTAGTAAAGCTACAATAATAGTGGGCATCTTATTAGACTTTTGTCAAAACCTATAGACTGTACTTAAGTAAACTATGGAATCAGGGAGATATGTCATGTGAATTCATCCATGTGTCAGATATATTCTAGTACAGAATTCTGGTGGGAGGGGAGACTATATGTGCAGGGTATATGGGGTATGTAGAAGATCAATATACTAATTTTGTTGTGAATGTAAGATCATACTGAAAAAGTCTATATTTGGAGCATGTAAGGTAGCTCAGTGGTAGACTGCTTGTCTAGCATACAGGAGGCAGTATTTTAAGGTTTTAAGATTTATTTTTATCATTTGTGTGTATGTTTGTGTGTAGGTGCCCATGGAGGCCAGAGAAGGCACTGGGTTCTCTGGAGCTGGAGGTGGTTGAGTCTCCTGATATGGATGCTAGGGATAAATAGAACCTGGGTCCTCAGCAAAAGCAACAAGCACTCTTAACTGCTGAACAATTTCTTCTGCACCAACAACCTGTGTGTACACATGGGCATGAGTGTCATGGCATGTATGTAGAGACTGGATGAAACAACTTTCATGGATATTCTGGAGATCTATCTCAGGTTGACAGGCTTAGCAATGAATACCTTTACTAGTTCAGGCATCTTGCTGGGCCTTTTTTTTTTTTTTTTTGATAGAAGGGTTTAGGCTGGCCCTGAACTTACTATATGGCTGAAGACCTTGAACTTCACCTCACAATTAATTGCTGGGATTATAGGCCTGCACCACCATACCACCAGTGAGGGGTGTGTGTTTGAACAAATGGAATTGTAACATAGGATTTAAGTTTAAAACAATGTACCTAGCATTTCTCAAAGGGATACAAAATACATGAAAAGGGGATATTACCCTTGGACCTAAGTAGTATGGTTGGCTTTTACATGTATTCTATGTATCTCCACAAAGTGATGCTTCTGAAAAATGTTTTAAAATTTTAATTGCCCCCCCCCCCTCCTCTTTCCCAAGACAAGGTCTCACTGTGTAGCCCTGGTTGGCCTGGAACTATGTAGTCCAGGTTGGCTTCAAATTCAGAGATCTACCCTGCAGTAGTTTGGTATGTCATAGTGGGGGCAGGCTTTGAGGTCTTCTATGTTCAAGATATGCCCAGTGTGGACATACACTTCTTCTGTTGCCTGTGTATCAAGATGTAGAACTCTCAGCTTCTTCTCCAGCACCATGTCTCATCATGATGATAATGGACTAGACATCTGAAACTGTAAGCCACCCCAATTAAATGTTTTCCTTTAAAATAGCTGCTGTGGCCAGGTGTGGTGCACGCCTTTAATCCCAGCACTCAGGAAGCAGAGGCAGGTGGATCTCTGAGTTTGAGGCCGGCCTGGTCTACAAAGTAAGTTCCAGGACAGCCAGAGCTACACATAAATATCCTGGCTCGAGAAACAAAGTTGCTGTGGTCATGGTGTCTCTTCAAAGCAACAGAAACCCTAAGACAGGACTGGAGAAATGGCTCAGGGATTAAGAGCACTAAACTGCTCTTCCAGAAGACCTGGGTTCAATTCGCACATGGCAGTTCACAACTGTAATTCCAATTCCAGGGGACCCAATACCTATAACAAAACACCAGTGTATATAAAATTTAAAAAAATTAAGGAGTTTCGTGGATGCTCACCTTACTAGACCTGGATGGAGGTGGGTGGTCCTTGGACTTCCCACAGGGCAGGGAACCCTGATTGCTCTTTGGGCTGACGAGGGAGGGGGACTTGATTGGGGGAGGGGGAGGGAAAGGGGAGGCGGCGGTGGGGAAGAGACAGAAATCTTAAATAAATAAATAAATAAATAAAATTAAGGGCTGGTGAGATGGTTCAGAGGTTCAGAGAACTCCCTGCTCTTTCAGAGGTCCTGAGTTCAATTTCCAGCAACCACATGGTGGCTCACAACCATTTGTAATGAGATCTGGTGCCCTCTTCTCGCCTGTAGGCATACATGCAGACAGAATACTGTATACATAATAAATACATTTTTAAAAAAGAAAAAATTACAAAAAGGAACCCTAAGACACACTCCAAGTGCTGAGATTAAAGGAGTGCACCACCATTCACATCCAATTTTCCTCTTGAGACAGGGTCTCACTATGTAGCTCAGAGATATCTGCCTGCCCCTGCCTTCCACACTTGACTTTTTTTTTTTTTTTTTGGTTTTTTGAGACAGGGTTTCTCTGTGGCTTTGGAGCCTGTCCTGGAACTAGCTCTGTAGACCAGGCTGGCCTCGAACTCACAGAGATCCGCCTGCCTCTGCCTCCCGAGTGCTGGGATTAAAGGCATGCGCCACCATCGCCCGGCTTGACTTTAATTTTTTTTTTCTTTTTAGTGTCTCACTCAGTATCCCAGGTCAACCTTGAACACTTGGCAAAATTCCTGTTTTAGCCTCCCAAGTGCTGGGATCACAGGTGCATACTACCATGTCTGACTTCACTTGATGTTTTGATCTAGTTATTAGTCTTATTTTGCCACTATTATGAATCTCTACTGCCATATTTTTATGGGATTTTCAGGTGATAATGGAAGTCTTGAGTGGCCAGTGCATAGTGAGATCCCAATGTCCATCTACTTAAATGATCTCATTGTATCCAGGCTCAAGGGTCCTATTTTCTTGTCCAGCAAGGTACTTCCCATCTGCATTCCTACACAGAAGACAGAAGTATAGTGGCATAACACAAATATTTTATTACTCTAAAAACATGAAAACCCAGATCTCAGGACATAGGGGATGTCAAGGCAAAAAGGTTAGAGAAGTATATAGGCCCTGATGTGAGGAGTTCATGTTCAGGTCTTGGGGGCCCTTTTTCTGCCCTCTAACAGAACTCTTGTTTGGAGGCCACCCAAGGATAAACTTTGCTGTGGGAGAAGCTCAGGTGGAAGAATGACAGCCTTCCCTGAGGATGTTGTAAGCAGCCCCTGGGCAAAGGTAGGCAAGTGGTGGTAGCCCATCCAAGGGGCCATTTGGGTTCTCTTTCTGTATTTATGGCCGGGACACCTATTCTCCTATTAGTTGCTCAAGTGCCTGCTTTGCTCCCTTCCAATACTAGCCCCTGCCTAAGAGTCTTCCTCCCTTCTCTGCCAAGTGTGAGGAACAGCCAAGGCTCTTCTTTTATTCCAAGAGACCAAGAGGAGTCAGATGCTCAAGGATAAGAAAGAGTATCCAGGCTGAGCAATGGTGGTGAACACCTTTAATCCCAACACTTGGGAGGCAGAGGCAGGTGGATCTCTGTGGTCTGAGGCCAACCTGGTCTACAAACAGAATTTCAGGACAGTCAGAGACACCCTGTCTCAAAACAAACAAAAAAGAGTACCCAGCAGGGATTATATGCCAATCTATCTGAGTTAAAAGCATCAGTTCATCTTCCAGCCTCAGTTTTGTGCAGGGAAGAATCTCAAAGGCAGTACAGAGTCAAGCAGGCTTGGACAGGGTCCTGCACCACTACTTCCCAAACCCTGGAGGTTCCAGTACTCCCCTGGCTAAGGACTTCAGGGCACAGACTGGGCAGGAAAAGTCTATCTTCCAGGCTGGAAGTGGTTGTGGAGCTGTTCCGCCTGCATCTTCAGCCGCTGGAATTCCTCTTGAATGAAGTCAGTGAGGGCTTTCCGCATCTCCACCTGAGAGCAAGGATGGTGCTGGCCTGCACTCCTCAGGGACCAAGACTAAGATACCCCGGGAGTCAGAGGGGCTGGGAAGGTCAAGGACACCTAGGGGACGTTGGGTGATAACTCACAGCTGACTTGTTTTCTGCCCGGAGCCGCTCAAGCACAGGGAGTGCACTGAAGGGCTTTCCAATCAGCACGGTGATTTTCTGTAAGGAGGTAGGCCATCAAGGATGACAAGGAGCCTATAGTTCCAGCCCAAACAATGTGGTAAGTCAGAGCCAAGCCTTGCCTAATGGGTTTGGTGCTCTTGAAAGCCACTCTCCCTCTTTAAAATAGGCAACTGGGCTTGGTGGTATCCAAGGGACAGCCTAATCCTGAGATGACCTATCTTGCTCTAACTTGTATCCCACCCCATCCTGATTTTCAATTCTTATTCTAAAGGCCTTACTTCCAGAAAAGTCCCTCCCTCCCCAACTACACGCTCATGTTCAGCAAATTCTCAACCAATCCTTTATAGTATGGGCTAGGAGACACAGGGTAGATAACAGGCAAATAGATAGACAAGAGTCAGAAGTGCCTACCCACCTGTCCAAATCGGGGGAAGTAGGGTGGGCTATTAGGGAGGACGTCATTCATTCCTGTAGCACAATGGATAGAAAGCCAGCCATTGGGGGAAGTAGTGCACCAGGGTACCAGGAAGAGAGCCCCAGGTACTTCTCTCAGACATCCAACCCACAATCCCCTTTAAAACATCTAAGGAAGTCCCCTCCCTACCCCCAGTCCCTGGCTCACCAACATGCCATAGTGGCAGGATGATGGGGTTTAGATGACACTCAGCAATCAGCCGTCCAATTCCTACTTAGGAGAGAGGCAGAAGCATTGGCACAAGTTGGGCCAAGCTGCCCTGCCAATCTCTGGCCAGTGTCATTTCTACTGTCTCTCAATTAAAAGACTAGTCCTTGACTCACCACCTGTCCCATTCCCACTGTCCCTGACACATCCACCAGAGAGGGGAATGAAGCCAGGAACTCACAGGGCCATCTTTGGATGGGATACTTGGCTGTGTCAACTTGAACAGCAACACTTACCCCACTTGAAGCGCAGAAACTCAGAACTCATGTTTACTTTCCCTAGTGAGAGAAGACAGAGACAAGGCTTGGAATCTGAAACCACGCATGCTGAAGGACCCAGACCAAGCACCCAACTGACCTTCTGGAAAGATGTGTACCCAGTCCCCATGGTTAAGCTTCTCCAAAATGAAGTCCATCCCTTTCTGGTAGACACCATCTCCTGCAGAGAAAGATCTGTTCTCTTTGATCCATTCTCTGGGGAAGATATCAAGCTCTCCAAACCTCAGTGAACTAAATTCACATATCAGGGGCCCACTCCTGATCCACCCTAATTAGGATGGAGGCAAAAGTTCATCCCCTACAGCACCATCCATAGACACCGCCAACAACTATTTTCAGAGTCTGTTCCTCCCTGCTACCCTGACCCTTCACATTTTTGGTTTGGTTATATCCTCCTCTCAAGATGGGCATGGAGGCTCATGCCTATAATCCCAGCACTTGGTAGGCTTAAGCAGGAGAGCTGCTGTGAGTTTGAGGTCAGGATGGGCCACAGAGTATAACATCCTATATCAAAACAAAACAATGTCTTCTCAACCTCTTAGTGCCTGTCATATGCAAACAGCACCTTCCTTTTCTTTTCTGAGACAGATATTACTACGTAACCCAGGCTGAATCAATTTTTTTGTGTCTTTTTTTTCTTTTTTTTTGGTTTTTCGAGACAGGGTTTCCCTGTGGCTTTGGAGCCTGTCCTGGAACTAGCTCTTGTAGACCAGGCTGGCCTAGAATTCACAGAGATCCGCCTGCCTCTGCCTCCAGAGTGCTGGGATTAAAGGCGTGCGCCACCACCGCCCAGTGGCTCAAATTTGTGGCAATCCTTTTACCTCAGTTTTACCTGGCTAAACAGTATCTCTCACTGAAATGATAACCATGACAACTCCTTCCTCCACAACAGCCTGCCCTGCTGGAATCTGCCCCACCCCAACACACACCTTTTTGCTGGCTGCTAATCAGCTCTTTGGAAGCTACCACTTTGACCTTCCTTGAGGTTTATGGACCAAGGTGTAACACTTCAGTAAACAGAAAACGGGGAAGAGACTGGGAAGTTTGTGTGGGAGGACCTGTTGGTATTTCAAGGCCAGCTGGGTTTCTGTGAGACCGCTGTTCAAAAAAACAAACAAAAAGATTGAAACAAACTGAAAATAGGAGTCAAGCTGCCCTGAGGCTAGTAAAACCTTGGATACATTCTGAGAGGGTCCCACTAGATTGAAGAAAGGTAACGACACAAACCTGGATCATCCAGGTAGCCCAGCTATCAGTCACCACACTATAGAGCTATCAGTCACACTATAGATGTAGAGACCTAATGCCTTTTGCTGGCTAGCAACCTTGAATCACCTAGATATAGTAAGACTCTCCACAATAGTGGAATAATAACCATAGGGTGAACAGAACCAGGAAACGGAAGGGAGGAGGCTGACAAAATAGGTAAATATCCTAATCTTATAAAATGGGATGGAGGGAGGGTGTCTCGCAGGAGACAGAAACACTGGAGCTATCTCAGGTCAGTACTGTTCTCTGTAAGCCTGCTGTTTAGAAAATGTGGTTAGGGATTCAGGAGTCTCAGTCCAACCTCAATAGGGACCTGATCTGGCAGCTCACGCAGGGGCCAGAAGTGGGAATGATTTCAGGGAACAGAAAGAAACACAGGTTTCCTATTTGGGATGGCGGTACACAGAGCAAGGGTAGTAACTAAAGGTGTTTGCTCCTCTAGCAAAACCCACTGGTATATACCCTCTGAGCTTAAAAAGGGCAAGTAAAAAGGATAATATGCCTTTGGAACAGGCTTACACTTTTTAGCTTTTGCAAATGCTATTTCTACTTATGTAAAATCACATCTTCAGTGCTTAAGGGTCAACCTACAAAGTCTTAGAGAAAAATGGTTTAACACAGAAACTGTATCGCAAACTCTGTTTCAGTCACATGTAATTAGATCTTTGCTGTCCTTGAAATTAATGTTTCATTTTCTAGCTTTTGTTTTATATATTTTACAATTCTAGGAATAGAACAAAGGGCTCTGTGCCAGAAAGGCACAAATTGTACCAATGAGCCACATCTCTAGCCCTCAATTTTTCTGTATGTGTGGGCACACAGTTGTATACACACACACACACACACACACGCACAGTGTGTGCACATGGGCTTTTTTTGAGACAGGGTCTCTGTCTTCAGTCCAAGCTGGCCTCAAATTCATGGTAAATGACCTACTTCCACCTCCCAAATACAGGGAATACAGGTATAGGCCACCATACCTAGTTTTTTTTTTGTTTGTTTGTTTAGGACAGGGTTTCTCTTCTTAGCCCTGGCTGTTTTGGAACTAGCTCTGTAGACCAGGATGGTCTCAAACTCAGAGATTCACCTGCCTCTGACCTCTGAGTGCTGGGATTAAAGACGTGCACCACCACGCCTAGCTTTTTTTTTTTTTTTTAAGATAAGAAGTCACCAAGTAGTCCTGTAGTCCTGGTTAGTCTGGAACTTGCTGTGTAGACCAGGCTGGCCTCAAAGTCACAGCAATTTTCATGTCCCTGTTCCTGCTTACAGAGTGATGGGGTGGGATTACAGACACATGCCATCATGCCCATCTCAGATCCTGTTTTTAACTGAAATAAAATCTAGTTAAAGATCAAAAAGAATGAAGAGAACTGGGAATATAACTCAGAGGTACAGTATATGCCTAGAATGCACAAGTCTCTGTGTTCTGTCCCCCAAACTGAAAACAAAAGAAAAATAACGAAAACAAGACACATACATACAAGACTTCTGAGATTGCAGAAGAGGAGCTTAGAGTCAGGGACAGGTGTAAATTATCAGAATATTGGCATTATCAGAGCAGGACCTGGGAGAAAATGTCACTGTCATTCAGCAAGATAATGTAGTCTCTGTTGGAACACTTAGAAAGAAGGAAATAGGGCTGGAGAGATGGCTCAAAGGTTAAGAGCACTGGCTGTTCTTCCAGAGGTCCTGAGTTCAATTCCCAGCAACCACATAGTAGCTCACAGCCATCTATGATGAAATCTGGTGCTCTTTTCTGGTGTGTAGGCATACATGCAGACAGAATGTTGTATACATAATAAATAAATCTTTTGTTATTTTTGTTTTGGTTTTCGAGATAAACTTTCTCTCTGTAGCCTTTGTTGTTCTGGAACTTGCTTTGTAGACCAGGTTGGCCTCAAACTCACAGAGATCCAATTGCCTCTGCCTCCCAAGTGCTGGGATTAAGGTGTGTGCCTCTACCACAGGCTTATTTGCCCATTTTTAGACTTTTTCTTTCATTCTTTCATTGAAAACAAATCTGCTTCCCCAGAGAAAAAGGAAATGTGGATTTGAATCCTAAATTTGTCCAAGGTCATGACTTCTGAGGTCTATCTGGAAAATGGGAATCAAGATGGCCCCAACTGGCAGACTAAGGGGGCACTGATAATGACATTGGGATTTGTCTCTACTGCATGTACTGGCTTCTTGGGATCCTATTCTCTTTGGATGTATACTTTGCTCAGCCTAGATGTAGTAGGGAGGGCCTTGGACTTTCCACAGGGTGGGGTACATTGCCCTCTCTTAGGATTGGAGGGGGGAGGGGTGGGAGGGTATATGGAGGGAGTGGGAGGAGGGGAGGGAGTGGAATTTGATTTGGTATTTTTTTTTAATGATAAAATAACATAAAAGATGGCCCCAACTTCTAGGGGGTTGTGAAAAGTACTGAGTGATCATTCAATCCAAGGCTCCTCACCCCACCAATTTGTTTGTTTTCCCAGAAACAAACCCTCTGGCTTTTATACATTACCCCACTACCATCATAAAGTGATAGCACCACACTATTCTCCCTGAGAGGAGTAATAGATACAGAAGGGACAGCAAATAAAGCTTCCTTAAATTCTCTCTCTCTTGGTTTTTCGAGACAGGGTTTCTTTGTAGCTTTGGAGCCTGTCCTGGAACTAGCTCTTGTAGACCAGGCTGAACTTGAGCTCACAGAGATCTTGTCTCCTGAGTGCTGGGATTGAAGGTGTGTGCCACCCCTCCCACCCCACCCCCCACCCCTGGCTCCTTGAATTCTCATGCTAGAATTCTGGACAATCCTCAGGCAGCAGCAGAGAATCTAAAAGGTCATTCTTCTCCCTACCCTCTGTCACCTATACTGTCATGCAATGGCTCCCCTGAGTCCTTCTAAGACAGAGACACTGACCACCAGCTTCCTTACCCCCAAAGGAGGCCTGGACATGCCTACCAGAGGAGCAGCTCACCTCGACATACAGGCACACATTTGCCCAAGCTGAAGAAATGGGAGTGCAGCTCCTTGGTGAAACAGATGTCTGCAGCTGCTGGGGTCCTAGAGCAGCAATAGACCCAGTCATCCCTACCTTCAAAACTTCTAGTCTTTGTCCCCAACTCTCCCCACCCAGTACAATGCCTGCCATCACTGTCATGCAGAATGAAGCTCAAGAGAAGGGCCTGTGGGGCCCCACCCATGCCCTTCCTGGACTGCTGGATGCCACCTCCTGAGCAGAGAAGGCAGGCAAATCTGGGCAGAAATGGATGGGCCACTTCAAGGGGTCTATTGCTCCTCACCAACGCATCAACTTCAGGTTCCAGATGTGGCGGAGTTTCAGGATCCCTAAGAAAAAGGAAAGCCCTTGATGTGACATGACTACTTCCATATTCCTTTTAAATTTCTGATATCCTGTTCAAATAACATTCCCTGGAGCAATCCTAAGGGGAACACAAAACTTCCAGCAACTAGGCAGTATATCCCACAAACAATTCCATGGTTTCCCAAAGAACCTGGTGAGAAGCGAATCTATTCTGCCTGTTCCTGTTTTGCCTACTTGAACCCAATCACACTGATACAGTACCCCAGAGATGAGGGTCATCCATGCAGGATTGGTGGTTGGAGACCGTGATGAGGGGGGTGGCAGGGTCTCGGTTCTCAATGAGCTCATACAGCACTTCCTTGTTGTGCACGGTGAGTTGGTTCATGTACTCTGGGAAGAGAAGTCAGTCTCAAGCTCTTGCTCATCTCTACCTGCCCGAGAATTCTTACTGTGCTAAAAGAGACCCTGCCACATCCCCAGTACCCAAACCAAATTCCAACTCTGGCCAGGTTAGGAGCCTGTGACTCTCCCTTGGCCTTTGGCCACTCACTGGTCCAGAAGCAGCTGTAGGTGCCCACCAGGCCCATGACGACGCTGCTGGCTATGGTCCAGGTGAGCCGGGGCACCGCGGGGAACGGCCACTTCACGTGGAGGGGCATCTCCTCCGGTCCTGACTTCGCAGCCCGGAGCTCCTCCTGCCCCGGACCAGCCCGTGCCCTCCAACGCTCAGGAGAGGGATCTCCGACAAACTAGCAGAGGGCTAAACTAAGGTCACTTCGTGAAGCAGCTCAGAGCCTCACTAGTACCGCTCTCCGGAAAGAAAAGTGCTGCTGCCACACATACTACCAGAGCTTGCCTTGGCGTCCTCAGACTCCACGGACCTGCCGGAAAGCGAGCCGGGAACGCTTGTGGTCGCAAAACAGGCCTAGGTCGCTTGACGGCTGCCGGAGGCAGGTCTACGCTATCCTCGCCCCGCCCTCTTCCCCGTCAGAGTCTTGATTTTGATACCGCCAGAAGCTAAGCGTCTCTTTGGTGCCTTAATTCTAGTGTCTGTAGGTGACTGACAAGAGCTGCGCAGCACCATTATCTGAAGCCACTCAAGGCCTAAACTGGTGGAACTCTTTTACTTATTATCTCCCCCTCCCCCACCCCGTGTGAATCGGATTATCTGCAGAGGCGAGAAAAGGGCATTGAGCGTCTGTGACCATCATTCTGTGCCTTACTACTTTCGAAACCAGGTCTGTTATTGAGCCTGGGGTCACATTTTCCACCAGGTTGGCGTCCAGGAAGCCTCAGAGATGCCCTTTTATCTGCCCCCTCCATTTAAAGCAGTATAGTCTCATGCAGCCCACACTAATTTCAAGCTCGCTTTCAAGTCACAGCAATCCTCCTGCCTCTGTCTCTCGAATTCTGTGGGCATCACAAGAGGATTTTTTTTTTTAGAGAGAGAGAGAGGGATTTACTGTGATCCCTGGCTAGTCTGGAACTTAATATATAGACCAGGCTAACCCCAAATTCTAAAAGCATATGCTACCTACCACATCCTGGTATTGTTTTAAAATTCAGTTTTATTGATAGTGAGCTGGCGGGTGGAAGGTTGGGAGTGGTTATCTCCATGATAGAATACTTGCCTAGCGTTCATGTGGTAGCAAAAGTAACATGCCCATGAGCAGTGTTTTTGGTTTTGGTTTTTCGAGACAGGTTTCTCTTTCTTTGGAGCCTGTCCTGGAACTCACACCAGGCTGGCCTCGAACTCACAGAGATCCATCTTCCTCCAGAATGCTGGGATTAAAAGCATGCACCACCACCGCCCGACCTCCCATGGGACGTTTTTTCTAACTCCATAGTCATCCAACGGGGACCTGAAAGGACTCAGTAGCCAGTCGCGCTGTCTGTCCTGTGCAGAAGGTCCATTGCTTTGGGTTTTCTGACAAATATAATTTAGGAAGGCCTAAGTACCTAGAGAGAAAGAAGACTGCTTCGCTCCCCGCTGCGGGAAAGGGGCCAGAGAATGAACGAGCAAACCTCTTCACCTTGGTCCCTAGGTTCAGGTAACTCACTCAACGATGGACAGCGCGAATGGCTGCTGTCTGCTCAGAACAGGCACCACCCATCTTGGGCGGGGAGGACAGTCAGGACCAGTTCCCAGGCACCGCCTCCTGGACAGAGAGGCGGAGACCAGCCCTGCTTGTATGGGACTAGAGAGTTGGGTGTGGGGCCGGCTCTTGGGTGGGTCTGAAAGCAGGCTTCCTCTTCTCCCCACCCCAAGTCCATAACCTAGCTGGCGCCGCGATTCCGTCGGTTCAGTCGGTTCAAGGCTGAGGCAGGCGTGGGGCCAAGTTGGTCTGCCGAGGTATGAAAATCCTGAGGGCTAGGGAAAGGGAGGAAGTTGCTCTACTACCTGGGGAGGGGCTTAAGAGGGGAAGGGAACTTTGATCCAGAACTAAGGATGGTCTTGGAAGACTAGGATGGGCATTGGGCTGGGGCCAGGTACAGTCATTCTTTGAGATTCTTTCCCAGAGTCCTAGCGGTCTCAGTTTTCAGATGTAGCTTGGTCAGTACAAAGCTGCACCAATACTCACATGTATCCCAGAATAGGCACCAGTGCAAAGAGACAAAAATAAGCATGAGTGACAGAGCAGATGGCCAGAGAGAAACAAATATCAAGGCCAGGCAGGAAAACACTAACAGAAACACTGAGATGGGAAGAACCGGGAAGATAGAACAAGACAGATAGAATGAAACTAACAGAGAGGAGAAAGTGACAGGGTGACTGAGAAAAGCAAGCAAACAGAAGCAGAGGGCCTCATGCTTCAGAATGTGATATGGACAGTACAGTAAAGGGCTGAGCCCAAAAGATATGGTAAGGCAGAGGTGAACTTGAGACAAAGATAAACCAGATACATGCTCAAAAAGGGGCATCAGTAGCACCCAGTAAAGTTGAAGCCAGCCTGGGACTGTAACATAGTGAGTTACAGGTCAGCCTTGGTTATAAATTGGTATATGAACCAAGAGAATGAAAAAAAAAGAAAAGAGGAAAGGGAAAGCACATACTATGTCACAAATAGAAAGAGGGAAGCCGAAAAACAAAAAAAAAAAAAAAAAAAAAGAGGGAGATGACTAGTATAATGGCTCAGCAGATAAGAACATTTACTGTTGCTGAGCAGTGGTGGCGCACGCCTTTAATCCCAGCACTCGGGAGGCAGAGACAGGTGGATCTCTGTGAGTTCAAGACCAGCCTGGTCTACAAGAGCTAGTTCCAGGACAGGCTCCAAAGCTACAGAGAAACCCTGTCTCGAAAAAAGAACATTTGCTGTTAAAGTTGATAGCCTGAGTTTGATCCCTGGAACTCACGTGGTATAAGTAAAAAACCAGACTCCACATAGACACATGTATACATGCATGCATACACAAACACATCCGAATAAATATTTTTTAAAAAGAAAAAAGGTTAAGAAGAAGCAAAAATGCCTGAAGAGGTTCATGTTTGATTTTCTAATATGGATAGGATAAACTGGACATTCTTGAATCTGGGACTATCTTTGCCCTAGCTAGGAAGTGGGCCTATGTGAAAAATGGTACACAGCAACAGTTTGTTTGCTTGTTTATATTTTGAGACAGGGTTTCTCTGTGTACCCCTGGCTGCCTAGAACTCATTCTGTAGACCAGCTTGGCCTAGAACTCAGAAATCCGCCTGCCTCTATCTCCTGAGTGCTGGTGTTAAAGGCATGCACCACCACTGCCCAGCTGCTTCTCGACATTTTAAGGAAGTAGGTTAAAAGAATGAGATCAAACCCTTATGCACTGTTAGTGGGTATATAAAATGTCACAACAGCAATAGAGAGCAGTTTGGTGTTCCTTCAAAATTAAAAATAAAACTATCATATGAATCAGCAGTTCCATGTTAGGAAATTGAGGCACTTGCTTTACTCAAAATGGCTGAGCTGGACCTGGGTGGTGGTGGTGCATACCTTTAATCCCAGCACTTGGGAGGCAGCTGCAGGTGGATCTCTGTGAGTTCAAAGCCAGCCTGGTCTACAGAGTGAGTTCCAGGATACCTAGAAGATGAAGAAACTCTGCATATCTAGGCTGGTAACAGTACACTGTGCTTGTGTCTTAGGCTGCTGGACTGAGTCTTTAAAAGGCTTGATTCCTTGTACATATCTGCCACTATTTAGCTTCAATAATTCTTTTTTGTTGTTTTTTTTTATTTATTTAACTTTATTTTATGTGCATTGGTGTGAGGGTGTCAGATCCCCTGGAACTGGAGTTACAGACAGTTGTGAGCTGCCATGTGGGTGCTGAGAATCGAATCTGGAACCTCTAGAAGAGCAGCCAGTGTTCTTTTTTGTGTGTGGTGTTCTGAGACAGGGTTTCTCTGTAGCTTTGGAGCCTATCTTGGAACTAGCTCTTGTAGACCAGGCTGGCCTCGAACTCACAGAGATCTGCCTGCCTCTGCCTCCCGAGTGCTGGGAATAAAGGCATGTACCACCAGTGCCTGGCCAGCCAGTGTTCTTAACGGCTGAGCCATTGCTCCAACCCCCCCCTTTTGCATTTTATTTATTTGTTTTTTCGAGACAGGGTTTCTCTGTGTAACAGTCCTAGCTGTCCTGGAACTAGCTCTGTAGACCAGGCTGGCTTCGAACTCACAGAGATCTGCCTGTCTGTCTTCCAAGTGCTGGGATTAAATGTGTATGCCACTCCCCTCCCCCCAGCCAATGATAATTTCTTGTCCATAAATTTCTTCAGATCCAGAAGGTGGGCCTTGCTTATGGTGGCTATGCTTATGGTTTGCTTTTTTTTTTTCAGACAGGGTTTCTCTGTGTAGCTCTGGCTATCCTGGAACTCACTCTATAGACCAGGCTAGCCTCAAACTCACAGAGATATGCCTACCTCTGCTTCCTGAGTGCTGGAATTAAAGGCATTTCACCACTACCCATGGTTTGTGCTTGTGTTTTGAAGCAGGGTATCATTATATAACTCAAGCTGGCCTCAAACTTATGATCTTCTTACCTTCATTTCCCAGATGCTGGAAATATAGGAGTATGCCACCACACCTAGCCTTGTTTTTGTTTTTTGAAAGACAGGGTCTCAGGACTGGAGAAATACTAAATGACAGAGTGCTTCTCTACCATGCCTAGAAAATTTTATGCAATACCACATATATCTTATCAGGTGTTCAAGCCTAGTATACAGAAGTTGAAACACTTCCCAGGAAGAGATGCAAGAAACATTCAGGGCCAGTAGCAGGAAGAGTACCAATTAGCTGAGATCAGCTACAGTGCCAATGCACTCTGGACAACCTGGATTCCTTTGGAAGACTCCTGATGCCACATATGGTCACACATGGCCTTGTTTTGTCTCTCCTGCTCATCCTTCTGGCTGGTGGGGCTGAAGCCTTTCGTATCTGTGCCTTCAATGCCCAGAGACTGGCACAGCCCAAGGTGGCCAAGAAGTCAGTGATGGATACCTTAGTTCAGGTAAGTTAAGTTTATTGTTGCAGAAATCTGTGTCCCTAAGGCCCTTAGCTCTGCCTGACCAAGGACATGCACTAAAAAGGAAGGGGCATCAGGAAATGTGAGTACACATGTGAAAAGTACCTTTCAACTATCATTTAATTATCAATCTCTTCCTCTAAAGAGGAAGGTATAATGGAATGATGCTCTTTGTTTTTCTGGGTTCCTTCTAGTCCTCCTGTCTTCTGCTACTCTGGTCTTTATATATGTCAACCCCTCTTAATTGGGTTGGTATCCCTCATTCCCTGCAGATCCTGGCCCGATGTGATATCACGGTTCTTCAGGAGGTGGTGGATTCTTCCCAGAAAACTGTCTCCCTTCTGCTTCAAGAACTTAATAGGTAAAGAAGGGTCTTGTCTGACTGGAGACATAGCTCAGAGGTTAAGAGCACTGGCTGCTCTTCCAGAGGTCCTGAGTTCAGTTCCCAGCAACCACATGGTGTCTCACAACCATCTATAATGACATCTGGTGCCCTAGTCTGTCATGCACGTATACATGTATGCAGGCAGAACCCTGTACCTAATAAAATAAATTAAAAAAGAAGGGTCCTGTCAATCTAATCTGGGTTCCACCCAGAGCCTCAAGGGCCCCTAACTCTGAGTTCTTATTCTGGCAGATTTGAGGGTTCCAGGAGTTACAGCTTCCTAAACAGCTCCCTACTGGGGCGTAGCACATACAAGGAGAAGTATGTGTATATCTACCGGTGAGTACAGGGGTTTAATTCTATCTTCATAAAGACAATTCTATCTGGTCTTGGTGTTCTGAAGACCCAGCTAGCCTATTTGCTTGAGTCCATGATTTCAAGACCAAATGGGCAATAATGAAAATGGATCTCAAAAAAAAAATCTCATGAAAGTTCTAGGTAGAGCTGGAGAGATGGTTCAGTGGTTTAAGAGCACTTGCTGCTCTTTCAGAAGACTATTGTTTTATTCCCAACACTCACACAACAGCACACAACCATCATTAACTTCAGTTCCAGGGAATGGGACACCTTCTTCTGGCCTCTGCAGACCCATGGTGCACAAACATACATGCAAGCAAAACACTCATACACATTAAATAAATCTTAAAAACAGTTCCAGGGAGCCGGAGGCATAACTCGGTGGCAGGGTACACATTTATCCCGGTGATTAAAAGAAAAACTCTAAGCTAGAAGTGGTGGCACATACCTTTAATTCCAGCACTCAGAGGCAGAGACAGAGGGATCTCTGTGAGTTCAAGGTCAGCCTGATCTAGAGTTCCAGGACAGCTGGGACTACATAATAGATCCTGCCTTAAAAAAATATTTTTATAAAAGAAAAACGAAAAACCAGAAGTTCTAGAAAAAAAGGTTGTGCCCACATGAAACTGGCAGAACAAGGAACCAAGAGTGTTCCTCTTTGACAAACTTTGCTGTTTTGCATAAGATGTGGGGCCACTACTTCCTGCCTCTTGGTTTTCCCAGGTCTGACAAGACACAGGTCCTGAGTTCTTACCAGTACAATGACACAGATGATGTTTTTGCCAGAGAACCATTTGTGGCCCAGTTTACTCTTCCTAGCAAAAGTAAGCGGGAAAGAAAGGTGGACCTGGTACATGGAAACAGGAATGGGTGTGGCTGGCTCTCCTGTGGGTTTGGTCCTAAGGGGAAACAGAAGTGGATGTGTGTGAGAAAGGCTGGCAGCTGTGGCAGCCTTAGTTTCCTGGGCTTTGCAGTCCTTCCAAATGTGGTTCTGGTTCCACTCCACACTACTCCCAAGGATGTAGAGAAGGAGCTGAATGCCCTATATGATGTGTTTCTGGATGTCTCCCAACGCTGGCAAAATGAGGTAGGGGTGATAGCTTGCACAGAAGAGGGGATGGTGGGACTTTCCTGTGGCAAAACCCAACTGCTTGTTTTCATCTTTAGGATGTGATCCTGCTTGGAGACTTCAATGCTGACTGTGCATCACTGGCTAAAAAGCGTCTCAACAGCCTGCTACTGCGGACTAAAGCAGGCTTCCACTGGGTGATTTCTGATGGGGAGGACACTACAGTGAGAGCCAGCACCAACTGTACCTATGACCGAATTGTGATGCATGGGCAGGGCTGTCAGACACTGCTGAGGGCTGCAGCCCCCTTCAACTTCCCCAGGAGCTTTCAGCTGACTGAGGAAGAGGTAGAAAAGTCGGGTTGGCACGAGAGTTACACAATGGCTAAGGGCAGAATTGTGGGGGGAAGTCGACAGGAAAGCCCCTCAATCTCAAGCACTGATACCTCTATTTTGCTATCCCTCCCCAGGCTCTCAGAATCAGTGACCATTATCCTGTGGAGGTGGAGCTGAGCCAGGCAGCTCAGGGCATCCAACCCTTCACGTTGGGCTATTCTGCTGCTGCTGTCACTTTTGCCATCTCAGCTGGGCTAGGTGGCTTGACACTTCCTTTCAGATGACCACTGACTCGACTAGGACACTGACATGGAGCTAAAGCACGGCCTCAAATACAGCTTTTCCTTGTTTTTAATGTAGGCTTTTTGCTGCTTGCTATTTCAAGAGGAAGAAAGGGCTGGCAGTGTTTTTACCTAGTATATCCAATGCCCTGGGGTTGATTCCTTTTTGAAATAGGACTTGTCACTGTATGCAACTCTAACTCAGGTAGTCAGGTGCACAAAGGTTCCAGGACTAGGAATGGGCTAAGAACTCAGACTATGCCTAAAAGATTTATGCAACTGACATCAAGAGCCAGATAGGAAGACTAAGTGTCCTAGAAACCTTACAGAAAATGAGCTCACACTAAAAACTCAGACGTGAACTCATATACAAAAATCTCTGGCAGATAAAGAACTGTTCATAGCACTATTTACTCTAGGTTTGTTTAAAAAATTTTTAGACATAACTAATCCTGTTTCTCAAATGGCTAAACTACATGGGCCAGCCTTGTCTCTGGGCCACATATCCATTGTATGGTTCACTTACTCTGTATTCATATACTTACTACATGGCTCTGTCAGGGATATCAGGCAAAATATACAAATAAAGTCACCAATCTTAACTCTGTATGTTCAGTCCACTACTTTGCCCTGTTTAACCAAACCCCATGGACTTAAGAATCAGATACAAATACATAAGCAGACTGGATGTGAGATTTATTACTGAACATGATTTGGTAGGGTACAGGAGAGCACCATGAAAGCCCTCAGGAGTGTAGGGCTCGCCACTTGTCCAGGGGACCACGATTAGGAATATATTTGACCCCACAGCCATCAGGAATGAGTCGCTTCTCAGCAACCATGTCTTCAAATTCATCGGCATTAAACTTAGTAAAGCCCCATTTCTTTGAGATGTGGATCTAGGAGACAGAAAACAAAATTACTCAGTGACAAGGATCAGTCTCTGAACTGATAAAATAAAAAAGTATCACCCACCTTCTGGCGGCCAGGGAATTTGAACTTGGCTCTACGAAGAGCCTCAATCACATGTTCCTTATTCTGCAGCTTAGTGCGGATGGACATGATGACCTGGCCAATGTGAACCCTGGCCACTGTGCCCTGGGGTTTCCCAAAGGCACCACGCATGCCTGTCTGGAGCCTACATTGGAGACAGCATTGAGATCAGACTTGAATAAGTGCCAGAAAATTGTCTCCAAGGTCCCTTAGGGCAACCCATACAGATAACAGGCTGCGTACACTACCAAGGAGGCTGCTGTTTGCAACCATTGCACACCAGGGCCCCAAGGGGAAAGGGACCTGGTCGGCTTAATTAGTTGCAAAAAAAAAAACACCCCAAAACCAAAACAACCCAAATAGTCATTTGGAACACAAGTCTTCTACATGAATCAAGTGCTCCTAGTTAGAACCAAGCCATCTTTCTAGCCCATCTACCTTGATTGCTGAAAACAAAGCCAACATTAAGGCTGGATCATGAGAAAGGGTACAAACTGCCACCTTACCTGTCAGCCCCAGCACAGGACAACATCTTGTTGATTCGGATGACATGAAAGGGGTGAAGCCTCACTCGAATGTGAAAGCCATCCTTGCCGCAACTCTTTACCATGTATTTGTTGGCACAAATACGGGCAGCCTCCAGAGCTGAGTGGGGACAAATACAGTACTTAAAACAGGATAGTGTGGAGGCAGGACTGGGGATGGAGGTCGTTAGTAGAATAAACCACGCAGAAAATCTCAGATTAATGTCTACACAGGAAAAGTCGATCAACAAAAGGGATCTCACCTTCGGAAGAGAGTTGTTCATATTCATCTGACACCATGTGGCCACAAAGCGGGAATTCATCAACTTTTGCCTTCTTCCGTCCCAAGTCAAAGATGCGGATTTTAGCATCTGAAAACACGTGGTATTAAGTGCCCACGGAGTAAGAAATAAGACAGCACCACAGATCCAACTTCCAAGTTTGTAAGTACTTACCAGGGACACCTCGGCAGAAGCGAGACTTTGGGTACGGCTTGTTCTTACAATACCGGTAACTGCAGGATGAAGTCAAGTGTGATTAGATGTACCAACTAAATACGGCAAGGCTTAATAGTGAGAAAGGGACAAGACCAACTGTGAATTCAGTCTCCATTACCAGAAACCGACTCTAAGGTAATATTAAACAACCTGCTACACAAGACAGAAACTAAGCACCAGTGTCCCCCCTAACCAGAATAGGGTGAGAAAGCACAATTTCTTAAGTCTTTTGAACATGTGACATAAAACCCGCCTCAACCACGTGAAGAAAATATGGCGCCCTCTGCAGGCTCGCGGCTAGGTGGCGCCTACCACCTCTTGGCCGGCCCTTGGTGTCCGGTTAAAACCACAATGCACAAGGCCGAGAAATAACAAAGATGGATACAGAAGTCACCAAAAGGACATGGGAATCTGTGTGATAAGGTTTACTTGAGAGACAGAAGATTGGATGCATATGCACATGCTCATAGTTCTACACAAGCGTTTTAAACTAGTCTTGAGTCAACCCTCGTACAAGCTTGAAAAGACAAAGATCCCAGTAAACTATTAAAAGAACCCCTGGGGTCAGTTTTTAGTTCAGGGTCGCTGAGTGGCGGAGGGTCCACCCCAAAGAAATGTCTTTGGGAAAAAAATGTAACCATTTCCCCATATTTACAGTAGAAAAATATATATTCAGCACTCACCACCGGGCGGGGCGGCGACCCATGATGACAATAGGACCGTCGGTAGCTGTAATGAGATGGCCAAAGTAAGAAGAGAGACCCAAAAATAAATCTAAGAGTCCCAAAAACGAACGCTGAAAGAACCGAGAACACACTAACCAGACAACTCACTCACCGCGCCGGAGGAAAAGAGAGGCTCCCACGCCTGCACATGCCTTATATAGGCGGCCTATCTTCCAGAGCGTAACCATAGAGTCCCAGCCATTGGGTGGTGTCGACACTCTATCAGACGCCAGGATCATAGATGCAACGATGCTTTGCGCATGTGTACGAGGCCAGCCCTAAACTTACGCAGAACGCGTTGGTGACTGGACACCGGAATTGGGAGCTGCGCGTTAGCGAATGGGGTTTCGACACATAGGCAAGAGAAACCAGCTTCCGTTTGGCCATTTTGGGCGGGGAGTCGTTCGCCGACTTTGCTGTAACTAATATTCTAAAAACATACTAAGACTTGAAAAAAGGAGTTTTTCTCAGTGAAACTGGGCTGTCATGCAGATGTTCTTTCTCTAGTTTATGGGACTGCAGATCATCACTGGTTCTGGTTTTCCTCAAGGCTACGGGAAACGGCGCAAAGCGCCAAGCTTAGGACTCTGTGTTCCTTTGTCAGCAGGGAGGTTGGAGCCGGAGACCCACCCACAACGCTTCTACCTACACCGAAGAGCCCACAAAGAGCACCATGATAGGTGCTTGGTTGCTCTCAAGAGGCCAACTAAAAGCCTCCGTAGGTAACTGCGGTCGTCATCGCTAATTGGGCTCCCCCCCCCCCCCACTCACTCTAAACTCTCAGGGAAGATAACTTATGTTCCCAAGGAGATTGTAAACTGTCTTTGACCATTACTTCCATTTAGAGGGCCTTGGGGCCATGCCCCAGTAGAGGCATCAGAACTCCTTTGCTGAAGGTTCCAAAAGAAAAAAAGTGTAGCACACCATTTCTTTCACTATGACGAGTTCAAGACGTACATTTGGGTGTGTCTAGGAGGATTGGCAGCTAACCACTGACTGCTTTCCCATACAAGGTTACTATCCAGGGAGACACCAGGAGAATACTGTTCTGACCCAGGAGCACATGACTGGCTATCAATCATTGAGACTCTGAGTTCCTGGCTCTAGTGTCACCTGGGGGGGGGGGGACACATGATAGGAACAGTAACTGTAAGAAAGCCATTGCCTTTTCTAGAAGTAAAGGTAGGTAAAGGAACTAGGAGCCTTCTGTCCCTACAGTTCTCAGTGCAGCTTTTGAGTACACAGGCCCAGCTTGTCCCAACATGTTTAGGAGTCCCAGCCCCAGCCCAGAACTAGTAGGTTTCCTTTGCCTCTCTCCAAAATTGCTTCCCTGAGTTCCTGTAGGCTTCTGCACAGTAGTCCATTCTCAAACATTGCCATCTATCCCCTGAAGACAGCTGTGTCCAGTCAGTCCTTTCCCTGATTGATATTTGTGCAGTTGTGGAGGTGACTGGTTCTTTAGCTGGAGGGGGATAAATGAGAATCTTTCTTTTTTTCCTTCCTTCCTTCCTTCCTTTCTCTCTCTTTTCTTTCTCTTTCTTTCTTTCTTTCTTTCTTTCTTTCTTTCTTTCTTTCTTTCTTTCTTTCTTTCTTTCTTTCTTCTTGAGATAGTTCTCACTATTTGTGGCCTTGGCTGGCCTGACCAAGCTGTCATTAAACTCACACAGCTACCAGCTTCTGCTTCCACAGTACTGGAATTAAAGGCATGTGCCACCACACCCTGACTGAACCTAGCATCTTACCACTGTAGGAAGAGACATCTCCCACAGTCACCTACAGGTAGTCGACCCTTTCCCTTTTCACTTGTCATTCTTCTCCAACTCCCTCTGGGCTTTCATTGTTTTAGGCTTACTCGGGATGGACTGACTGCCCTTTGCTGATTCCCAACTGCTGTGCGGCAAGTAACCTCAAGGTTAGTATCTTTTTAAAGATTTATTTATTATGTATACAGTGTTCTGGGCACCAGATCTCATTACAGATGGTTGTGAGCCATCATGTGGTTGCTGGGAATCGAACTCAGGACTCCAGAAGAGCAGTCAGTGCTCTTAACCTCTGAGCCATCTCTCCAGCCCTCAAGATTAGTGACTTCTACATGAATGGCACTTCTGTTCTCCAACACTTTGTTTATTTTTTGATTTATTTGTTTATTTTAAACATTTATGTATTTATTTTGGCTTTTTTTTTTTTTGTTTTGGTTTTTCAAGACAGGGTTTCTCTGTGGTTTTGGAGCCTGTCCTGGCACTAGCTCTTGTAGACCAGGCTGGTGAACTCACAGAGATCCGCCTGCCTCTGCCTCCCTAGTGCTGGGATTAAAGGCGTGCGCCACCACTGCTGGCCCTCTTATTTATTTGTTTATTTATTATGTATACAGTATTATATCTCCATGTATGCATGCAGGCCAGAAGAGGGCACCAGGTCTCATTCTAGATGGCTGTGAGCCACCATGTGGTTGTTGGGAATTGAACTTGGGTCCTCTGGAGGGGCAGGGAGTGCCCTTAACCTCTGAGCCATCGCTCCAGTCCTTAGTCTCTTTTTCAATTAAACATCTTTTGAGAAAAGATTTGTGTTACCCTGGCTGTCTTGAAGCTATGTATGTCAGGCTAGCCTCTATCTCACAGCATCCACCTGCCTATGTTTCCAGGGTGTTGGGATTGAAGGCGTGTGCCACTACACTCAGCCAGTTATTTTTCTGTGTATGAGTGTTTTACAGTATATATGTAAGCACACCACATGCATGTCTGAAGCTGCTCCTCCACTGATGTCTGCAGCCCTCATCCCTGCCCGGCAGCTGTCTTGTCTGTGGCCTCTGTGGATTATTCCCACAGTCACCTGCTGCTTGTCCCCTCTGCTCTTTTCCCACCCTGCCCCCTTGGCCTGGGCCAGCTCTCTAGAAGCCCAAGAGACTACTGGCCAGTTCTTGGTGGAGTACAGGTGCTGTGGCCCCCACTGCCGAGGGGCGCTCTACCGAAGGCATTGTCCCCCTTGCCTTATGGGGGTGGGGGGGAGTTGAGCAGAGTGTCTGGGCTGTCAGGCTGACTAAGGGAGGAGGAATGGTCAGCTGGGCCTGCCCCCTGCCTCGCCCTGCCCTGAGTCCAGCCTGAACTTGCAGTCTATGGGCCCTGCTTTCAGCTGGAGCCAATCAGCCCCTGGTCCCCTTCGTGGTGTCACTGGGTGGAAGGGAGGTCAGGCTGTGGAAGGCTATGGCCATGTGCCCTTGACCTCTTGGCTTCTCGTACCTGTTGGCCAACAGAGCCAGGGCATGGACTCTGTTGTGGTTAGGTATCGCCACCCCACTGCAGACTCTAGGCCATGCAGCCTGGCTGACTTGCAGAACCAGCTGAGGTGGACACAACTGTGCACCCTGCCTGCCTCTTCTGGTAGCCTGTGGGACCTCCTGTATTTATTTCCTGAGTGGCTGGGTCTGTCAAGAATGGTAGGCATTGGGGGCTGGAGAGATGGCTCAGCGGTTAAGAGCATTGCCTGCTCTTCCAAAGGTCCTGAGTTCAATTCCCAGCAACCACATGGTGGCTCACAACCATCTGTAATGAGGTCTGGTGCCCTCTTCTGGCCTGCAGGCATACAATCAGACAGAATACTGTATAAATAATAAATAAATAAATATTTAAAAAAAAGAATGGTAGGCATAGGACTGGAGAGACAGTCCAGCTGTGACTTGCTGTTCTTCCCCAAGACCCGGAATTGACTGGTTCCGAGCATCCATGTTATGGTGGCTCGTAACTATCTCTAGTTCCAGACACGGGCAATCAAATGCCCTCTTCTCGCTATTGTAGGCACCAAATCCATGCAGGCAGACACTTAATACACATAAAACAGTTAATTATTTTTAAAAGGATCCATTAAGGATGATAGGCATACTTGCAGGTGTCATATGCCTGGCTCCCGGCTGGGATGGAGCACCCATCTCTTTTCCTTTTGCCTCCCCGGCTAGGTATCTTCCAGTTCACTGCCTGGAGCCTCTCACCAGGTGTCCTCGGAAGCCAGTCCCATCCCCAGTCAGGCATCTTCTGCCCTGTCTACAGCCCCAGGTATCTCAGCCCCCTGTGTCTGATGTAGAGACATGGAGACGGGGACCCCTGCTTAACTCAATTCAGCCTTGGTGGTCAGTGGCTCCCCTGAGTAACTGCCAGGCCTTGGCTTGAGAAGAGGATGTAAAGGTGGGCCTGTGTAGGAAGAACTGGTGCCAGGACTGGTTAAGAGACTCTGTCTGGGTGATTAGGGAGCAGGGGTTGTTCCAGGATGCAGAGTCCTAGCTATGTAGCATGGATAGTATTGGTCTTAATAATAAAACCCTTAGTCAGATATAGGATTAATGCTGAAAGCTCAGAGAAGCAGAGCAGCCAGCCACTAGTTCTTACCTCTACTGAATCCTCAGACCAAAGGGGCGATCCTGTTCCTACAAGTACTCAGACTGAATGCCATCTCTATGAAACCTCAGACTGAATCCTGAGCTTCTGTCTCCTCCCGTCTTCTATTCCTTTCTCTGCCCAGCCATATCACTTCCTCCTTAGTGCTGGGATTAAAGGTGTGAGCCACCACCACTTGGCTGTTATTCTTTTAGACTAAGTCAATCTCTTGTTGCCCAGGGTGGCCTTGAACTCACAGAGCTCCATCTGCCTCCCAGTACTGGGATCAATGGTGTGCACCACCACTGCCCAGCCTCTATGGCTAACTAGTGTGACTAGCTCCACACTCTGATCCTCAGGCAAGCTTCATTTGTTACAGCACAAACAAAGTATCACCACATAGCTATGTAGAGGGGAAGCTGTGTCAACTGCCTGTTAGTGCTGTACCTCCTTGGACTTGCCTTTGATACCTCTCTTCCCCTGTCCAGGTGGGCAGCTTCTGGAGACTCCTAGAATGTTGGGCCCCCCTCTCTATCCTGGCTGTTTAACAATAATACCAATGGACGAAGGGAAGGAGTGTATCTAGTTGCATCTGCCTGCCCCTTGGGCAGTGCCTTCTGTGAACAGATATCCTCAGACCATGAAGCTAGTACTAGGTTTAGAAAGTCTGGATCCAGAGCCAGGTAGTGTTGGTACACGCCTTTAATCACAGCACTCTGGAGGCAGAGATAGGTGGATCTCTGTGAGTTCGAGACCAGCCTGGTCCACAAGAGCTAGTGCCAGGACAGGCTCCAAAGCCACAGAGAAACCCTGTCTCGAAACACCCCCCCTCCAAAAAAAAAGGTATGGATCCAGCATAAAAAGTAAGTAAAAAGTGATGATCTAGTCCCATTTTTGTCCTTTCTAAGTGTCCCATTGCCTGCCAACCATTGGGTTCTTTTCAGAAGAAATCCTGGTAACTCAGGATGTGGCACAATTTTTATTTATTTATTTTTTATTTTTATTTTTTTTGTGGCCCAATTTTTATAGTTCTTGTCTAGAAGACATAAAGCCCTGGACGCCATCCCCAGCACTTAATATTCTCAGTATTATGACACACATCTGTAGTCTCAGTACTTGAATATTGAATCAGGAAAAGCAGGAATTCTAGATCATTCTTGGCTATACAATGAGTTTGAGGCTAACTTGAGGTTCATGAGACCCTATCTAAAACAAATTAACAGATGCCAAATTGTCACTGTCTTGTAGGTGCTCTCCTAGCGCAGATTCTTCTGGTTTTGTCATGTAGAAGTCAGGTAGAACAACCCTTTGGCTAACCCTCTCTCTCTTTTTTTTTTTTTTTTTAAAAAAAGATTTATTTATTTATTTATTTAATTATTTATTATGTATTCAGTCAGTCAGTCAGTCAGTCAGTCAAGTATCCTGCCTGTAGGCCAGAAGAGGGCACCAGATCTCATTATAGGTGGTTGTAGCCACCATGTGGTTGCTGGGAATTGAACTCAGGACCTCTGGAAAAGTAGTCAGTGCTTTTAACCACTGAGCCATCTCTCCAGCCCGGCTAGCCCTCTCTTATATGTTCACTCTATCAGATGTACACTGTGCTTGCCTTGCTCTACAGTATACAGACCTTCCTGGATGTCTTCCCCCACTGTCAATTCTGCTATGTCCCCCACTAGCTGTTAGACTCTTCCCTGGTCATCAGGGTCTAGCACACAGTCATGGTGATTGTATACACATCGTACTTGCATAGGTTGTACTTTCATGGTCATAGAGGGAGAGAACTGGGAAGCTGATCAGTGTCTGGCACAGTCTCTTGTTGACACTTGAGCAACTACACCCTGCTGTCTCCTTCAGCTACTGGAGTCCTGAGAGTGGGGAGGGGTGTGTTTGTGTGTGTAGAAGTCTTAGATCCCTCAAAAGTCTTGACCACTGGTAAACTGAACCCTTGGAAACTTTTAGGGGTTAGAGTCACAGCTGCCACTCAGGTATTGGAGAGTGGGTTCTGGAGCTCTACAGAGCTGGCAGCCTTTATTTCACTTGGAGGTCTATAAAGTCATCACAAGTCGGTGGCCCAATGCTTAGTTCATGTCTGGGTACTCATGTGCTTTTCTGGGGCACCAGAACCCTTAAGATTCAATGAGGCATGGAGTTGGAACCTCATAGCTCGTAGAAGCCTTGGAAGCTGAGGACCAAAGTAAAATGAGAGGCCTCAGGAATTTGAGAGAAGCCCAGGCAGGTTGCTAGAGAGTCTTAAAGAAGGCTCAAAGTCCCCAGGAACCCTTTTTATTATTTTAATTTTTATGCACATAAATGTTTGCCTGCATATATATGCACTATGTACATGCCTAGTACCTGTGGAGGTCAGAAGAGACCATCAGATTCCCTGGAATGGAAGTAACAGATGGTTATGAGCAGCCATGTAGGTGCTGTGAACTGAACCCTGTTGTGGAATATTATTTTAAGATGTATTACATTTGTTTATACTGTGGAACATTTGTTTTAATGATGCAAAGATGTGTTGTATTCTTTTATGCTACATTTGTTTAAC